GGGAATAGAGTTGCCTAAAAGTAGATTGTGCTAAAATAACAGAAAAGATAAAAAATATTTACAGAGGAAAAGGGAGAAAAATCTTAATTTGGGGGAAAAATTTGATGCAAATAAAGGAAAATACAAACCTAACTCATAATTTTAAATGTGACTAGATTAAACAATTGAATAAGACAAAAAAGAGTGACCAATTGGGTAAGAAAATTAAATCTCATAGTCTGCTGCTTACAAGAAAGAAAAAGCGGGGGGGGGAACATACACAGAATAAAATTGAGGGGATGGAAAAGAAATTACTGTGGATCAGGTGAATCCAAAAAAGCAGAAGTTGCATTCATGCTTTCAGAGTGAAAATAAGCATTCACAACATAAAGATAAATAAGGAAACTAAGTTATACTAAAAGGAACCTCAGAAAACACAGGCAGTGTTAAATTTAATACTGCAAATGCCTTTACTTCTAAATTTATAACTAAAAAAATTAACTGAATGACAAGAAGACATGATACTACAATAGTATCAGGAGATTTCAATGCCCTCTCAGTTTTAGATAAGTCTAGCATTTGAAAAATAAGTGAAAAAACAGAATTGAACAAATTGCTGGAGAAGCCAGAGCTAAAAGACTTACGACATCTTCTAAGTAGAACTTCTAAAAGAATACACATATTTCTTAGCACCATGTCAGACTTTTACAAAAGTTGGTTGCCCAGCAGGATACGAAAATGTTTCAAACAGATATAAAAAGACAGGAATAGTTAATACATCCTTTACTGACCGCAACAATAAAAAGAATAATCAGTTCAAGGAACACAAATAAAAGACACAAACCCAAATGAAGACTTAACAATGAAATCCCAAATAATGAGTGAGTCAAAGAACAAATCATAGAAATTAATCGTATGAAAGAAAATAATAATACCAAAGAGCACACCAGAATTTCTGGGATGCTTAGTCCCTAGGAGAAAAAAATCACATCCATACAAGCATACATCAATAAAATAGAAAAAGAGAGGTTTAATGAACTACATTGTACATTTTAAAATTAGAAAGCCAGCAAACTGAAAATAAGCACAAAGGAAAAGACATTAAAAGTTAGCAGAGAAATAAATTGGAAACAAAAAAAAAGCCTTATAGAAATGATAAAGATAAAAGGAGTCAACTGCAAGAGAGTAGTAGGATTGTTTTGCTGAAATCAGATTCCATTTGAGATTAGCTAGCATAAAATTATAGTGGACCCACTCAGAAGTTTTTTTAACTTCCTTTCAGCAGCATGTGAGTAGAAGCAAAGGAGAAAGATGGTACGAGCAATATGGGTTTGGGGCGTGGCAAGACACAAACAGCAGAAATAGGACAAAGGAACCAAGGATTCAAAAATAGAATTGAACTAGGTCCCCTAAAAGTCAAGATTGGAAAGGGAGAAGAATGTGGTCAGAGCAATGGTAATAGCTTGCTACAGTGCTGAGAGATGGAGGGATTGGAGGTCACTTTGAGGGTCAACAATAGGTTTAGGAGGAATGAGTCATAGGGAGAGTTGGAAAGATAAAATATTATGATATGATGGAAATTCAGAGTTATTGGACAAGAATTAAGCACTCCTGAGTGAAGGCAAAATCAAGGGTATGACCATCCCTGTACGTAGCTAAAGTGGACTGGGTAAGAAAAGAGTGAGAAATTATGGTATGTGAGAGGACATCAGAACATACAGAGTAGATAAATGTCCATTAGAGTGAGGGAAGGAGTTGTAGTAGAAAGGAAAACTGAGCAGCACAGTTAACTTGTTGAGAAAGAAGGAAAAATATCCTGAGTGTTAGTAGATAATAGCTACTGGAATCTGGATTGGGTGATAAATAAGTAATCAAATTTCAGCAAACCTTTCTCCCACTTCTACTCCTCCCCTCTCCCTCCCCCCCCCAAATGAAAATCATGCCCTGGATCACTTGGCACAAGGAGATTACATGTTAAGGGTTAAGAAAGATAAAGGCAGGAGCAGGTAGGTGGCATAGTGGATAGAGCACTGGCCTTGGAGTGAAGAGGACCTGAGTTCAAAGCCTGCCTAAGACATAACACTTAACTAGCTGTGTGACTCTGGGCAAGTCACTTAACCCTAGTTGCCTCATGAAAAAAAAGAGAAAGAAAAAGATAAAGGTTGAAAAAAAAAGTTTCTTTTTTATAGTTAACCAGCATACTTGTAAAAATACAATTTTGCTATTTGCCAAAGCCCTGGGAGGCAAAGATCCTGTTTATTAATGTTTCCCCTTTTATAGAAAAAAAATGCAAAAACAAATGCAGGTCCCTAGATTAGAAACACAAAGTTTCCCAAATTTGTTGTACTTTTTTTTTAACCTTCAGTGTATTTTGTAAACTCAGATATTCTTGAATATTCACTTTCTCGTGATGAGGAAAGAAAATCCTTTTTTTCCTGCTCAGATAAAATTGACATTCCATATCACATTTTATAAAGCAAAAGGTTCTGGTTCATTCACATTTTACAGTACTATAAAGTAAACATTTATTAAGTGCCTAGGTGCAGATCAGTATGCTGTGCACTGGTGGAGATACAAAGTTCAAATAAGATATTATTCCTGTCCTAAAAGGATCTTGTAGCCTAATAGAAAAATCAGATACTTACATATCTTTAATTTTTCCTGATAAACACATTAAAAGTTACAAAACAGTGCGGTGTGATTTCTGGGGAGAGGGGTATGGGTAGCTTCCTGGAGGAGACAGCATTTGAGGTAATCTTTAAAAAATAGATAACATTGGTAGATGAAAGTAAGAGGGGAGAGGGATAAGTAAATGAGCGGTATGAGCTAAGATGTGGACAGCGTAATAATGTATGTCTTAGAGCCAGAGAGTAATCTGTTTTGACCAGAGAATAAAGGTGTGGCAGGCAGGTAGGTATGGGAGGAGAACGAAAAGGCTAATAGATTGCTTCAGATTGTGGAAGGGTTTGAATGCCATGTAGAAGAACTTGAACTTGAACTTGAGTGGCAATAATAGCCAGCACTGAGTATTTTTAAGCATAGGTGTTACATGACCAGATCTGTTTTTTAAAGTCTCTTCTGGAAGCGGTTTGCATGAATGAAAGAAAGAAAAAGCATTTATTAAGCCAACCAGTTCAGAACTCACTGGTAGTTTATATTTAATTCTGGAACAATGAAACACTCATTGGACATTTTATAGTTAAGAATTGGAAATTTACCTAGCCTTAGCAAGAGAATAGTATTCAACAAGGGTATGCCGTGAGAATGCCTCAGATTGATTTCAGTTGAGTAAAGCTCCCTTGCCTAAGTTGCCTATCATAGTGCAACAAGTATCAGAAATCTCCTGGAGCTCCTTATAACTGTTTTGTACTTAGGTGGCCAAAAAATAATGTCAGTACCCTGAGCCCACTGAGCCTGACAGATGGTTTCAGAACTTTTTTTTTTTGTAGCGGTGCAGTTGGGGTTAAGTGATTTGCCCAAGGTCACCCAGCTAATAAGTGTCAAGTGTTCGTTCTGAGGCTGAATTTGAACTCAGGTCCTCCTGACTTCAGGGCTGGTGCTCTATCCACTGCGCCACCTAGCTGCCCAAAAGCAGAATCAGGATTTGAGCTGCGGCCCTCTGACTGTAGATACAATGTTCCTTACTTTTTTGCTTTTGTTTTTGTTTTCTTTCAAAACCTTTTAAGGAAAAACTAGCCTAACTTGCTTGGAAGTAAGGTTTAGGACAGGAGTGGAGAACGAGTGGCCTTCTTGGGTGTGGCCTTTTGACTGAGTCCACATTTTATAAAACAAATTCTTTTATTAAGGGTATTCTATGAAATTTGGATTCGGTCAAAGGGCTACACTTGAGGACCTATACATGTGGCTGTGGGTACCCACACCTGGTTTAGGATATTTCTCCTGTAATGACTTTGGATGTAAATAGAAAAGAAGCCCTTGTTTTCAGGAAATTTACATTCTACATTGAGGAAATAATACATAGAGGAAGGCACAGCAGGGCCAGTGGCAAGACCCAGTGGTTTTGTAGGTGCATTGGCAGACCAGATGGCAGTGCGAGGGTGTAGTGGCTGGGCAGATGATGATGAGAAGGGTGACAATAAAGAGAGGAAGACCTTTTAGGACCCTACTGCAGTATAATCTGTAGGGATGATATTGAAGACTTGTTTTAGTATGATAGTAGTGCTACAAATTATAAATTGTTATACAATTGAAATCATTAGAAGTTATTATTCAGTATGAGAAGTGAAGAGTCACATAACCCCAAACACAGAGATAGGATGAATGAATGGTGGAGCCATAGACAGCTCAGAAAAAGGAACAATTTTAGAGTGATAGATAATTAACAAAGTTTGGGAAGTGAGATATCCTGTAGACATTTGGAGATTCATGTTTAATGTTTAGAAAACATGTCAGGCTTCAATATTGAGATTTGTGTGTCAATGAAGATGTTTTTGTTCCAGTTGGCACAAGTGGTTAATGTGTATCTTATTACTATTAAATATTTAGTAACTATATGACAAGTTAAGAATTATGTTAATACATCTACAGCGACCAAAAATAATTCATCAAAAAACATCTTATACACCTACTTTGTGCCAGACACTGAGCTAGGTACTGGGGATACAATTTCGAAGAGTGAGATAATCTCTATTCTCAAGGAACTTAAATATACCATGATGTTCCCATTTCAATAAAACTCAGATACAAAAATGATAGGTTGGGGTGGGGAGAACCCTAACCCAAATCGTTTTTTTTCCTTTTTATATTGATAGCTCTTTACTTTTGTAAGTGGCAGCAAAGAAACAAAATGTGCATAAAATATAAAATGATCTTTAAAAGTTATTTTTACTATTCACAGTATTGAGCTTTTTCTTTTCATAAAATGCTTTGTGTTAACATGGTTTTTGTAAATTAAAAGGTATGTTCTTACATAAAAGTCTTAGAAAAGAAATTAAATCTCACCTTTTGAAAACCCTAATTTACTTTAATACTACTTTGATTTTCCTCCATCTTTCCTACAGAACCAAACTTAATAAGTGGTACTGCTCATAGTGTGAACAAGAGAGGTGTAAAGAGACGTGACCTAGACATTGAGGAGCTTAGAGAGATACTGTCTTCTCTCTTACCCTTTGTCCGAATTGAACATATTTTACCTATGAACAGTGAAGTCCTGAGTGATGCGGTAAGTGGTTTTTCTTCTCCTTGATCCATTCATTGAAAAAAAGAAAGTTAGTTTCTTCAAGTAAATATAATTCCTCTTATTCATATGGGTTCATAGGATGTTGTATAATCAGTTAAAATGCAGCTTGGGTATGCTTTTCAAGAGTATACTTTATGCTGTACATTAATGTATAGTAATACATTATTATAATTTTATATGTTACATACACACACACACACACATACACACATACACACATACATATATACACACACACATTAGGGCTCAAATAAGTCCCAGTTCGAGGAAAAGTATCAGGATCAGTTTAAAAAAAAAAGACATTTTATTACATTTTCAGCTCTACTTGAGGACTTAAGTATAAGAAGGCATAAGTTTTCATCCCAACAATAATTGACCCTCTGATCCTGAATGAGTCATTTCCTTTTTTGTACCTCAGTTTCTTTATCTGGAAGATGTAGGTGTTGACAAGAATCTACTCCGAATTTTACAGAATAAATCCTTTTATTAAGGGGATTTGTTCTGTGAAGTTGGGATTCATTCAAAGGGCTGCACTTGAGGATCTATAGAGCCATATGTGGCCTCAAGGCCACAGGGTTCCCCATCCCTGGACTAGATGATTTTTGAGATGATCTCAACTCAAAATCTATGAATACTAAAACCTTACCTACACCAGAAAGTCATATCTAAATATCATTTTGTTGTTTATATTACTATGACTTTGACTACTGCCACCATCCAGTTTGCAGCTTAGGAAAAATACTTATACATTTTGAAATAGATAATTCATTATGCATGTGTAATACAAAGGTTTTCTTTTCCTTCTTTAATCTAGTTTGGAGGAGGGGGACATGGAAAAGAAAGAAAGTTAATTTTTGTTTAAAAAAGGTTAAACTAAAAGAAGGAAAACTCATTAGACTTTCCTACAGAGACTACTTACTTAGTATGGTTGGAGAAGCAGGGAATTTGTTTAAATCAGACTGAAACCAAATAAGGTGGTATTTTGGTTCAGAAACTTGTGGTGGTTTAGTCCAGTAGAATTGTTTTTAGTTTACAAAAAACAATTCATTTTTTAAAAAGAAATTTTGGTTTCATTCTTGATTCAGTAAAAAATAGTATTTATGTAGTAAGTTCTATTCATTATTCCAGTTCATCTTTGTTTAGAGTTCACATCCCTGATTTTAAAAGGATTTTGTCTCCTTCTTAATTGAAGAGAAAGTCAAAGGTACAAAGAACTGTTTTGAGGTCATTTTTTTTTGGTTTGTTTTGTTTTTGTGTTTTTTGGTTTGTTTTGTTTTATTTGTTTTTAAGCTACATCTTTTGCCTGTTAGAAAATATTTTAAAATTGTAAACATTTTAGCTATGTGCCTAGATTTTGAATCATTTTAATGGTTCAAAAATAGTTTGTTCATATGGTGTGTTTATAGTACCTGTAATTTATCTAAATTTCTAATCTTTTTAAAAAGCTGAAGAGAAGCTTGATTAGTACTCCTCCATCAGATATGCTGCCTACAGCTGAAGGTGGAAAGTCAAATGCATGGTTACGTCAAAAAAATGCTGGAATATATGTTCGACCAAGACTGTTCTCTCCTTATGTCGATGAAGCAAAGGTAATGAAAATTTTTAGATGCTGGAATACTTGATTATTATTGGTAGAAACATTTAATTGTAAAATGCTTTTTAAAAGTTTAGTCTGTGTTAGGCATTTATAATACTTTAATTTCTCAAAAACCATTTTCTCTAACTGTAACACTAATTACTTTGTAAATTATTGTCTTTAAGAAAATTACATTTTAAGAAAGTTCTTTTGTGTTATAGTGTTTGAAAGTGGGGAAAATATTCTGAGATTATTTCATTTTTCTTCCTTTCTGAAAAATTGTGCCTCAAACAAAATATTAGCAAATAGATTACAGCAACTTATCACAAGAATAATACACTATGACCAGGTAGGATTTATACCGGGAATGCAGGGCTGGTTCAATATTAGGAAAACTATCAACATAAGTGAGCATATCAACACCAAAATTAACAGAAACCACATGATCATCTCAATAGATGCAGAAAAAGCTTTTGACAAAATACAACACCCATTCCTGTTCAAAACACTAGAGAGCATAGGTATAAAGGGAGTCTTCCTTAAAATAATAAATAGCATCTACCTAAAACCTTCAGAAAACATTATATGTAATGGGGACACACTGGAAGCATTGCCAGTAAGATCGGGGGTGAAACAAGGATGTCCATTATTGCCACTGTTGTTCAATATGGTACGAGAAATGTTAGCTTTAGCAATAAGAGAAGAAAAAGAAGTTGAAGGTGTTAGAATAGGCAAAGAAGAAATAAAGCTATCACTTTTTGTAGATAACATAATAATATACTTAGAGAATCCTAGAGAATCAAGTGAAAAACTACTTCAAATAATAAACAACTTTAGCAAAGTTGCAGGTTATAAAATAAACCCACATAAGTCATCGGCGTTTCTACATATCACCAACAAAGCTCAACAGCAAGAGATAGAAAGAGAAATTCCATTTAAAGTTACTGTAGACATCATAAAATATTTGGGAGTCCACCTGCCAAAACAAACCCAGGAACTCTATGAACACAATCACAAAACACTTTTCACACAAATGGTATAGGGAACTTCCAATGAAGAAATGAGTCTACTAGTACAGCTCTTCCTGCTTCTTTCTGTGCCAGTTACAGACTTGAGGGTTGTCTGAGACCTGAGGAGCGTAAGTTGCTGAGAATCACATGGTCACTGTGGCTCAGAGATGGTACTTGAACAGCCCCGCTCTTCCTGATGCTGAGGCAGGCTTTCTCTATTCACTGTGTTTCCCTTTGTTAGACTAAGGAAAAGATACTTTGCTAGTACTTGCTCATAAAGTTTCCCTTACAGAGCAAGCCCGTGGCCACTCCATATTCCCCCAGTAAGCACTCAGGAGTAGGAAAGAGTTTCAGTGTAGTCAAATTAGTAATTGTTACGGGCAATACATAATAGAAAATAAAATGAAGTGCTGTAATGAGTAGAAAACATGGAATAAGCTTACCTCTTTAAATAGCAGTCATTGAGCCTTCTGAACCAAAGTAAGAAAGCCCAACCTTTTATTTAAAAGTACATCTTTTGTGCCTTTATAAAAAAACTATTCTCAATGCTCATTATCAGAGTTCTTAGTTAACATTTTATTATCAAAAGAGAATTTCCATTGGGCAAATTATAGGTAGTGTGATATCTTGGAAAGCATTCTGCATTTGGGGTCAAAAAGCCTTGGCTTCCTGTCCTGACTCTGCCATTTATTCCCTGTGTGGGGCAAGTCAGTTAATTTCTCTGAGCCTTAGCTTCTTCATCTAGAAAATGAGGGGATTGGACTAGAGGAACTCTTAAGTTTACTTCTAGCTCTAAATCTATGATCATATTGTCTAGAGTGAAAAATAGTACTAATGGTATAGGTTAGGGTTTTGGGGGTTTTTTGTTTTGTTTTGTTTTCAGGGGCAATTGGAGTTAAGTGACAGGGTCACACAGCTAGTAGGTGTCTGAGAAGGGATTTGAACTCAGGACCTCCAGATTCTAGGGCTAGTGCTCCATCCACTGCACCACCTAGCTGCCCCAGAGTTTCATGTTTTTAAGGTAAATAAAGGAAATAAAATTGTTTTTCAAATCCATTGCAGAAAAGGCCAAGATCATATGGTCTTCTCTGGAATCTGTTAAAGGACATTCCATCCCTCAAGGAATTCCTATCTGAGATCGAAAGGACAACAGAGCACAAGTTTTTTACATTCCTTCTCTGTGGCCGTCTTCTAGGGTCTTAGTATTATCCATAGGGTATAATAAAATAAATGCCCCCAAAAATCTTCAAAGTCACCTTTATATAACACTGTATTAATTATGCTGTCTCTGGAGGTTTATATTGAGATTTCCAAGCTCTCAGTTTAGACTGAAATTTCTTCCACAAAAGAGATAAAATAGCACCTCAGGGCAAATATTGAGCAGTAAAGATAAATAAGAGTAGAAACAGAGCAGAGGTTCTCTTGGGACAATTGGAGGAGATCTGAAGAAAAGTCCCAGGACAAGGTTTGGTCCCTGTGAAGGGGACTAGGTCCTAGGTCCTAGGTCAGCTTAAACAACAAGGGGCAAGCCCTGGGGCTAGCTAAGTTGGGAGGCTGCCTCAGTGCCAGCAGCAAGAACTTTTACCCCGGGACAGTGAGGGGAGCTGGACATCTGAGGGAGCCTCTGCTGACAAGGAACACCAGACCCAGCTGTGCTGCAGAGATGCTACAGAAGCAGTGGTCTGGGGCCCCACTGGGTGTGGGTACTTATAGGAGGCTGGAGGATCTGAGGCCAGAGGTACCATACCCCAGGACTAGAGGTGATTATAAAAACTAAGCTACTACAATTTTTTAAAAATGCACAGGCAAAGGAGAAAAATCCAATCACAGAATTACTATGGGAAGAGAGGAGACTGGGGTTCATTTCAGAGTAGAATGCTGAAGCAAAGAAACTCTCTTCTACCCCAAAGAGTAATGTCAAATGATCACCTGCTCAAAAAGAATTCATAGAAGAACTTAAAAAAGACTTTAAAAAGCAAATGAAGTTGAGGAAAAACTTTTTAAAAAAAGAAAGAAAAGAAAAGGAGATCCAGAATCTTAAGGAAGAAAAGGACTCCTTGAAAATCAGAAGCCAACAAAATTAAGAGATCAAGAAATAATAGAATATTAAAAATGAAAAAATAGAAGAGAATATGAGAAAAATAAGAAAAACTGATCTAGAGGACAGATCAAGAAGAGAAAATATAAGAGTAATCAGACTACCTGAAAGCTATGATCAAAAAGAGAATCTTGATACAATAATACAGGAAATAATTAAAGACATTTGTCCTGAAGCATTAAAACAAGAGGGGAAATTTGAATGCTATGCCATTTTTGCTTTGTCTGAGATCATGATTGCTACCCCTGCCTTTTTTACTTAAGCTAAAGTAGTTTCGTTTTCTATCTCTTTATTTTAACTCCACGTATATCTTTTATGCTTCTTTTGAGTCTTGTGTTTCAATATCAGATTTTCTGTTCAGCTCTGGTCTTTTAATAGGAATGCTCGAAAATCTTCTATTTTGTTAAATTTCTATTTTTTCCCCTGTAGAATTATAATCAGTTTTGCAGGGTAGATTATTCTTGGTTGTACTCTTAGGTCTTTTGCCTTCCAGAATATCATATTCCAAACCTCCCCTTCCTTTATAGTGGTAGCTGCTAAATTTTATGTGATCCTAACTGTGACTCCATGATATTTGAATTCTTTCTCTTTGGCTGCTTGCAGAGTTTTCTTCTAGATCTGGAAGTTCTACATTTTGTCTATAATATTGCTGAGAATTTTCATTTTGGAACTTCTTTCAGGAGGTGGCCAGTAGATTTTTATGTTTCACTCTCTGGTTTAAAGCTATCCGTTCAGTTTTCCTTTAGAGTATCTGCAGAACTTTCTATCTTCCTCAGCTTCCGTTAGCTTTGAAAAAATGATTCACCGTGACTTTTTCTTCATTTTTTCATTTAGAATTCGTCTGGCATGCTTTCTACATCATTATGGAAGAACTAAGGCAAAAGTATTGCCATTTGGACTCTGGCCACTGCTTTAAGGCCTTTTCCAGCTCTAAATCTCCAATCACATGGTTGATTCCATTTTTGTGTATATATATATATATATATAGCTTATTCATTATTTTATTCTTTCATCAGGCAGTATTCAAATTCTTAAGTTATAACTCATGCTTGGAGAAAAAATTATTAGGATTTAAAATTTTATTCTCTAAGCAAATACAAAAGGGTTATTTTAAAATGAAGGAAATTGGAGTTATTTGTCCTTTTTTATGTAACTGAGGTAATTGGCTTCTAAGAAATGTGATTTTTAAGAGGTAATAATGTTTTGACTAATTCTGATTAATCTTGAATGATTTATTTCAGTCAGTGCTAGATGAAATGATGGTGGAACAAACAGACCTTGTTCGATTACGGATGGTTAGAATGTCCAATGTTCCTGACACACTTTACATGGTAAACAATGCAGTACCACAGTGTTGTCATATGATCAGTCACCAGCAAATAAGCAGTAACCAGTCCAGTCCTCCTTCAGTTGTAGCCAATGAAATTCCAGGTAAGGCTTTTATACTTTGCTGTACATATGTAAATTAATAAGTTATTTATCCATTTCTTAATAACATCTCATTAGTCTATTTTCCCTCTTTATCATCCATTGTTCTGTTCTGTCCTTTAACCAATTTTAATTTTAGCATGAATTTTGTTAATCTTAGTGAAATTGCCCACTCTTTAAACTCAAGGTGGCTAGCCTTGGAAAGAGGGAGGGAAGACTGGGATGCAGGAGTGGGGTTTGATGTAGGATTGTGTTGGGTGCTTGGGTCTGCTAAGTGAAGCCTGGCTTCTAGGAGCATGGAAGGTGAAAAAGGGGTGCTGAGGGAGCTCAGGGTCAGGGAACATCAGGTCCTGGGTTTGGCGTTTGTTGTTTGTTTTACCTACCTTGGAAAGGGCTTAAGTTGCTTTTATCTTTGGCACACATCATTTCTGTTTTGTAGAGGATGGGTATTGGGGAAAGTGTATAGTGCCCACCCTTCCTATTCTACCTCCTGCAACTACAGATTGCTCAGAAACCAGAAGTTAAATACAATTGTATTAATATTTCAGAATGTCAACCCAAAAAGTATATTCTTAGTCTCCATACAGTGGTAGATGTTCTGTTCAACTAGCTATGGAAGCATGTGGTTGTCTTCCCTGGAATCACCCTTTAAATTAGTTCTGTTTTAGATTTTCTCAGTAGTTATTTATGGCTATGTCATTTATAAGTGTATCCAAACTAGTTTTGAAGTCATTTATTTCTTTGACTACATATGTTTCTTTGTATGGTCGTTGATGGCTTCCATAAATATTTGGTTCTAGTCAGTTCGGTTCCTTGAACATCTGTTATGTGCCTGCTGTGTGTCAAATACTGTGTTATGCACTGTGAATACAAAAGGCGAAAGCAAAACTGTCCCTGCCTTCAAGGAGCTTACATTCTTTGAGGGAATCAATGACGTTTGGTATTCATTTGTTTAGTGGTAGTTCTGTAACTATGTGGATAGCTGTTTATTTTAAGGATTGGTTCAGAAGTCAGTCCATAAAATTTTTGTCTGTTGCTTGTAGAAATCTAATCATGATAACAGTTTGGCAAGAACTTGTCAGCTCATAACTCATAGAATCATGGATGTACAGCTGGAAGAAATTTTAGAGATCTTCTTTCTAGTCTAACCGCTTCATTTTACAGGGTAGGAAACTAAAGCTCATAGAAGTTGAGTGACTTGCCCAAGATCATCAGGCTTTAATTGGCAGAGAAGAGAGTCCTGTGACTCCAAGTTTAGCCCACGTTCCACTTCACCATGCTATTCCCTCTAATTCATTATCCATATGTTTTATTCCAGAGTAGCTGTTGTTATATAGATACCATATGCTGAAAATAAATGGGTTAATAATATAAAACAAGCTCTCAATTCCTTTAGGTAATTTAACTGTGGATTTTGGAGACATCATGTTAGAGTTCTGTTTGTATTACAGAAAAATTTCCTTAAAGTATTTTTAATGCCTAGAAACCTTCAGGGTTAAGTGTGCCCAGAAATTAATTCATCATGTGTTTCACATTTTAATAAAAACATAGAATTGGAATTTAGCTAAGGTACAGCTAGGTTCTGATTAGTATGAATAATGAATCTTATGATCTTATGTATTTGAATTCACACTATTCAAAGTTACAGTTCTGTAAAATATTATGATGGTTCTAACTCAATGGAAATATATATAGCAAATTTGAATAATGTGACCACTTCCCACAATCCATTGTTATTCACAAGAACCTAGCTACGGTGTTTTGGTTAGATAGTTTGTGTTGTTTTAGATAAAAGTAATGACACAATTAAGGAGCCATTTTAGTATACAAAAAAAATGGCACATGTTAAATGGCTCAAGAAGTAAATACACTAAAGAAATTTTATTTTTTGACAACTGTAAATGACAAAGCATAGTCAAATTTGAACATTGTTTTTGAATGTAGAATTAATGTAAAATATGCCTGCCACACCGTATACCAATTTTCTTCTGTTTTCAGTTCCTCGTCTCCTTGTTATGAAAGAGATGGTCAGACGTCTGCAGGAGCTACGCCACACTGAGCAGGTGCAGAGAGCATATGCTCTAAACTGTGGAGAAGGTGCTACTGTCAGTTATGAAATTCAGATTAGAGTATTGCGAGAGTTTGGTCTTGCAGATGCTGCTGCAGAGCTTTTGCAGGTAGGAAGCAATATTTTAGATATTTAAAAAATAGGGAACTGTGTTAATTGTGTAAGTTTTCAGCATTAGGGCATCATTTTAAAATATTGACGAGTCTTCCTAGAAAACTTTAAGGGTTTATTTGCTTTTCCTGTCATATGTTGGGACAATAGCTATCAGAGTTAACTGCAGCAAAGCTGTCTCTGAGATTAATATCTAAAGATAACAAGTCTTCAATAATCAGTAACCTCCACTGAGTCCTCATTTCTGGTCTGATTTTGGTATGGAGGTATCCCTGAACTCTCAAGGCCAGTCCCATTGAATTTCAAGTTGCAGAAGGTTCTATAAAGCTGAGAAGGCTTAAAACAACAATAATAGCATTTGTATAGCTTTTTAAGGTTTATTTACAAAGCACTTTAGAATATTACCTCACTTTATCCTTACAGTAACCCTGGGACATAGGTGCTATTATTATCCCCATCTTACATATGAGGAAACTGACAGACTAGGATTAAGAAAGTTTCCTAGGGTCACTCAGCTAGTAAGTGTTTGAAGTTGGATTTATTTAAAGTTTTGAGTTCCAAATTCTCTCTCTCCTTCCATTTCTCCCTCCTTATCCCCCTCCCTGAGACAATAAGCAATTAGATATAGGTTATACACATGCAATTCTGTAAAACATTTCCATACTAATTATTTTGTACAAGAAGACTCAAAAGAAAAAAAAAATTAAAGAAAGTGAAAAATAGCATGCTTCCATCTGTATTCAAACAGTATCAGTTTTTTCTCCAGATGTGGATGTAGAATGCTTCATCATTAGTCCTTTGTGATTGTCTTGGATCACTGTATTGCCGAGAATAGCTAAGTCATTTACAGTTCTTCATCAAACAATATTGCTTTTGCTGTGTACAACATTCTTCTGGTGCCCTGTTCACTGTGCATTATCAGTTCATGGAAGTCTTTCCAAGTTTTTCTGAAATCATCCCGTTTGTCATTCCTTATAGTACAGTAATATTCCTTTACAGTCATATACCACTACTTGTTTAGTTGTTTCCCAAATGATGACCATCTCTTTGATTTTCAGTTCTTAGCCACCACAAAAAGAGCTGCTATAAATATTTTTGTACAAATAGGCCCTTTTTTTAAAAAAATGTCTTTGGGATATAGACCTAGCAGTGATATTACGCAGTTTTATAACCCTTTGGGCATAGTTCCAAATTGCTCTCCAGAATGGTTGGATCAGTTCACAACTCCACCAACCGTGTTTTAGTGTCCCAGTTCAAGTTGGATTTGAACATATGTCTTCCTGACTCCAAGTCCAGCACTCCGTCCGCCTAAACTATGAGTGACAAACTTTGGGTCTTTTATCCAAAAATCAGCCCAGACAAGGGTGAAGAGAGCCTTGTCATCAGAAGGTTGGCTGCCAGATGATGAATTTATTTGGCCACAGGAATTCATCAGTCCATTTACTAATGTATAGAGGAATTGAAATTTTCTGCTTTGCAGCTTCTACCCAGTGCATTCTGCCCAGGGGGCCTAGCAGAACAAGTGTAAACCTTTCTTCCAAATACTTGAAGTTGCCTTTTCGTTAATCTTTTCTTCTCAGAATATATATCCCCAATTATTTCAACTAGACCCTTCAGTATCTTTGTTACTTTCCTCTGCCCACTCTCCAGTTTATTATTGTCCTTCCCAAAATCAAGCTCCCAGACCTGAATGCCATATGTCAAGTCTGATCTGACCAGAACCAAGGGCAGCAGATGCATTCCCTCCATCACCCTACATACTGCGTCTTGTATACGTAGCCCAAGGTCTCCGTGGATCTTTTGGCTGCTGTATTTTGGAGTCATATTATAATAAAAACTAAATTCCCCTTGTCTTTTTCAGATGAACTAACAGTGCCTCCCCTAGCTTATTTATAAAGTTGTTGTTGTTGTTTTTACCAAAGACTATGTGTTTATCCCCAAATATTTTCATCTTATGAGATTCACACCCACGTCCTAACCTATCAAGATGATTTTGAATCCTGAATCTGCCGTCCAGTGTGTCATCTTCTTTCTAACTTTGTATTATTAAGGAAACATGATAAGAATGCTGTCTATGCCTTTATATACATCACTGATTAAAAATATTAAACAGCACAAGGCCATGCACAGATTCCAGAAACATTCTACTAGAGACCTCTTTCCAACTTTAACATCAAACCATTAATAGCTATCCAGTTCTGACTCCACCTAGTGATATTTATCTAGCCCCACATCTCTACGTCATGTTCACAAGGACAGCCTCAGAGACTTTGTCTGATGCTTTCCTAAAACAATAGTTAGCTACATCTTTAGCATTTCTCTGCTATACCAGTATACTAACACTGTCAAAGAAGAAAATTAAGGTAGTTTAGCTTGACCTAGTCTTGGTGAAGCTCTACTAACTCTTTTTCCATACTTTTAACTTTGCTAGGAATTAAAGTCAAGCTGTCTGGCCTATAGCTTACAGACTGCGTGTTCTCCTCTTTAAGTAGATTAGAAAGATTAGAACATCTGCCTTTCAGTCCTGTGATCCTTCCTCCACAGTCTTTCTTTCAGAGGTCTTTGACAATGGCTCAGCAGTCACATTTGCTGGCTGTTTCAGAAAATTGGGCCTGGCAGCTTGAACAGCTACGTCCTCCATTACTGTCTCCCAGCTTTTTATATTATTACTATTATTTCATTATTATTATATTATTTTTAATATTACTAATCTTTATATTTCCAATATAAAGAAAAACAAAAGAGTAAGTGTTGGGTAGTTCTTGCTCTGTCATTTTCTAATTGTTCCATGCACCTAAAGCAGCCATCTCAAGTAGCCATCCCATCCCTCTTTGATCCTTTCCCTAGTAACACCCTTTTTGTTGTCCCTATCTTCACCCCAAGACAGAATGCATTCTGAATACCCCCTCCCCTCATCTGCCCTCAGTTCTATCACGCACCCCTCCTCCCTTATCCTCTTCACCTTCTGTTTTCCTGTAGGACAGTATAGATTTCTATGCCCCATTGCCTGTTACATGTAAGAACAGTTTTTAACATTTTTTTAAGACTTTAGGTTCCAAATTCTCTCCCTTCCTCCCTCCCCACCCACCCTAATTGTGAAGGCAAGCAACTCAATATAGGTTATACATGTGTAGTCATACAAAACACTTCCATAGTAGTCATGTTGTGAAAAACTAATTATATTTCCCTTCATCTTATCCCACCCCCCATGTATTCTGTTCTTTCTTTTGACCCTCTCTCTCCTCAGAAGTATTTGCTCCCTCCCTTCTATCATCCTCCCACTCTTATCCCCTTCCCCATTTTCCTGTAGGGTAAGATAGATTTCCATACATAATTGAGTATGTATATTATTTCCTCCTTAAGCCAAATCCAATGAGAATAAGATTCACTCATTCCTTCTCACCTTCTACCACTTCCCCTCCAGTGTAAAAGCTTTTTCTTGTCTGTTTTATGTGAGATTCTACCTGTAATCCTCTCTCACCCGTTAATTTTATTTTTTAGATATCACCCCTTCATCTTAACTCACCCTGTGCCCTCTATCTATCTATCTATACATATATTTCTTTCCTCTCCAACTACCCTAATACTGACAAAGGTCTCATGAATTACAAATATCATCTTTCCATGTAGGAATATAAACAATTCAACTTTAATAAGCCCCCTTATGATTTTTCTTTCTTGTTTACCTTTTCACGCTGAGTCTTGTATTTGAAAGTCAGATTTTCTATTCAGCTCTGGTCTTTTCATCAAGAATGCATAAAAGTCCCCTATTTCTCTGAATGTCCCATTTTTTTCCCCTGAAGGATTATACTCAGTTTTGCTGGGTAGGTGATTCTTGGTTGTAATCCTATCTCCTTTGCCCTCTGGAATATCATATTCCAAGCCTTCCAGTCTCTTAATGTAGATGCTGCTAAATCTTATGTTATCTTGATTGTGTTTCTATAATACTTGCTGTTTGCAGTATTTTCTCCTTGACCTGGGAACTCTGGAGTTTGGCTATAATATTCCTAGGAGTTTTCCTTTGGGGATCTCTTTCAGGAGGTGATCGGTAGATTTTTCTATTTCTATTTTACTCTCTGGTTCTAAAATATCAAGGCAGTTTGCCTTGATAATTTCTTGGAAGATGATATCTAGGCTCTTTTTTTGATCATGGTTTTCAGATAGTCCAATAATTTTTAAATTATCTCTCCTGGATCTATTTTCCAGGTCAGTTGTTTTTCCAATGAGATATTTCACATTGTCTTCTATTTTTTCATTCTTTTGGTTTTGTTTTATAGTGTCTTGATTTCTCATAAAGTCATTAGCTTCCATTTGCTCTGTTCTAATTTTTAAGGAAGTTTTTTCTTCGGTGAGCTTTTGGGCTTCCTTTTCCATTTGGCCAATTTTGCTTTTTAGGGCAATCTTCTCCTCCTTGGCTTTTTGGACCTCTTTTGCAATTTGGGTTAGGCTATTTTTTAAGGTGTTATTTTCTTCAGTATTTTTTGGGGTCTCCTTTAGCAAGCTGTTGACTTGTTTTTCATGATTTTCTTGCATCGCTCTCATTTCTTTTTGCAGTTTTTCCTCTACTTCTCTTATTTGGTTCTCAAAATCCTTTTTGAGCTCTTCCATGGCCTGGGACTGATTCATATTTTTCTTGGAGGCTTTGGATGTAGGAGCTTTGACTCTGTTGTCTTCTTCTGGTTGTATGTGTTGAACTCCTTTGTCACCAAAGTAAGATTGAGAAGTCTGGAAACCACCAAAGCTGCCCATGATTTAGTCCCCTGAGGCCTGTTTTGCCTGCACATCCATGCTGAACTGCGTTTGTCTCCCAGCCCAGCCCAGCGTGATAGATCTTTCCAATTAACCATTCAGGTTGACTTGGGCTGGAAATTTGTTTCACTCTGTCTTTTTGTGGGTTCTGCTGCTCTAGAATTTGTTCAGAGCCATTTTTTACAGGTATTTGAAGGGGTTTGGGGGAGAGCTCAAGCAGGTCACTGCTTTTACTCTGCCATTTTGGCTCCACCCCCTTTCTCCCTTAATGTTCTTAACGTTACGTTTTTGCATTCACCCTTGCTTCCATCTTCTGTTCATGTTTTTTTATATAGCACCTATTTTGTGCCAGGCACTATGCTAAGCACTTTTCAAATATTATCTCATTTGGTCCTCACAAAACTCTGGTAGGAAAGTCCTATTATTATCCCCATTTTACAGTTGAGGAAACTGAAGCAAATTCAGGTTAAGTGACTAGCCCAAGATCACACAGCTAGTACTAAGTATGTAAATTATAGTTAAAGTCAGGTCTTCCTGACTTCGGGCTTTTTAAGAATCAGAGGTGGTCATTGAGTTCCTTATGCATATATATTGTTAGTCTACTCACCTTTTTCCTTCCCATTGTAATTTTTTCTCCTTCTGTCTTCAGAGTTTTAGTCTTCATAGCTTTTCATTGTTCTAAAATAATTTTCCTCTATAGCATTTCAGCCCATGTGGTCCTACCTCTTATTTCTCTGAACTATTTGAAAACTGATCTCCAAAAACCTGGGGAACCTAGAAGCAAGCTCTTCCTCATTGTTGAGAATCAGATCTAGAATAACAGTATCCCTCATTGGTGCCTCTACCACATGAGGATTGAAATTATTATTAAGGCAAACTAGAAAACTATTAGCTACTCCATTTTTGGCAGAGAAAGCCCTCTAGCAGTTTCCTTAAATTGGTATATGGCTCAAGAGTAGTAGTATTGGTTTTTATACTAAAAAGCATCCTACCCATAGCCCCCTCATTAGAACCTGGAGGAAAATTATATTCAATCTATTTTCCCAGTCAGTGTCCTGGTAGCTAACTTGTTTTTTTCTGTCATTGAATTATGAGACTCTAGGACCCTAAATCCTTAAAAGCAAAAACAGGATTGCCCTGAGATGATGAAAAAATGTTTTTTTTACCCCCCAAAGTCCCTCGATTCTTTTGGAGGATCTTTGTTTCATCTTAAATTCACTCTGTGGTTTCCTGTTCATTTAATGGCATAGTCTGTTACTGTTTGTAAAACTTTAAACAAAAGTAGTACACTGGAAATTTTGAAAATATGTTCTGAAGAACAGCATTCCCATACTCTATTTATCAAAATGTTAGTCCAAACCAGCTAAGAGAAATTAGTAAAGAATGCCATATTTGTGCTTTTTCTGTGTCTTTCTGAAGTATATATGTCAGAGTGTCTTAGTTTAGAGAATTTTAGGAACAGCCTTCATTTTGTACTTTTCTTTACTGTCACTTTTTGTTGTCTTTGTTATCTTTGCAAAAATTATAGCAGAATATGAACTGCTTGTTTTTGAATGATTCAGCATTCTTATATGATCTTTGTATCTTACATTAGCAACAGAAACAACAAAAATAGCTGGCTTGTTTGCCAGAATATTCAGTCGTGTGTGTGTCTGTCTGTCTGTCTGTCTTTAGTTGCACAGTGTCCCTTTATTCTCCTTTTATTGATACTTTTTCTTAGGGTTTTGACCTAGAAAATCATGTTTTCTTAAGTTGTTTACTTTTAAATTTTGATGTATAAGGCTATTTCACAAGTCTAGTAATTACCAGAAAATTTTTTAACTTTTTTTTCCTATTGTAGAATCCTCACAAGTTCTTTCCTGATGAACGTTTTGGGGATGAAAGTCCACTCTTGACCGTGAAACAGTCTGGAAGATGTCGAGTTAACAGTACTCCCACTGCAGAAACCATGTTTACAGATCTAGACACTTTTGTGGCCTTCCATCCACCCTTGCCTCCTCCACCACCTCCCTATCATCCTCCAGCTACTCCACTTCACAGCCAGTTCAAAGTTGGTTGGAAACAAAGAGCTCCTCCCAGTCAACATCCTTCACGTTCTTTTTCTTATCCTTGCAACCATTCACTGTTTCATACAAGAACAGCTCCCAAAGCTGTCCCTCCTCCAGTCTATATACCTGGTGTCAAAGCAGAACCACCAGACTGCACTAACACTACAGGATCAGGGAGACAAACAGTCGCTGCAACTGCAACAGTGATGACAGCTGAGAAACAAGGGGTAAGTAGGTGTTATGTAATTTCCTGAAACGGAGAGGTTTCAAGAATGCCAAAAGTCCTTTCTAGGCCCTGCCGGCCAGCATTAGTGCTGAGGGGCGGGGGGGGATGGAATGGAAAAAGAGAAGAAAGGGAATGAGTAAAGAAGGAAGGAAAGGAAAAATAAAAGAGAGAAAATCAGGTTGTTTAGTTAGAATAGAAGAGGGTCACTAGTTTACAGCACCTGTTTAAAGGAAAGCAACAGCTTTACAGTTTGAACTAGAAGGAGCAAAAAATGAATATTAAGACCTGCATATTCTTTTCTACATACACTTTAAAAAATTTTTTATTTCTTTAAGATCTGTAAACACAATTTGAGTCTATTATCCAGTACTTATATTTCAGAAGGTTGTGATTTCAGATAATTTAGGATGATGCCACATATGTCTTTAATTCTTTGTCCAGAAGACTACCCATATGTTACTTTCACCAGCTATACCTTCTAATACATCTAAATCCTTAGACATGCTTTTTCATCAGCAAGGTCAGTTTGCTTTGAAAACTTAAAAGTAGTTGGAGGTATTAGATATTGTTTTGAGAGAAAGGAGACTTATTTTGATTTTGTGCTGTAATTGTCTAATTGATTTTATTTTAGGTCTTACTATGAGGAAAACTTTTCTAAATACTGCCTTTTACTATCACACTATCAATAAAATTGAATTTAAAGAGGTGGTTATAAATGTAGTTGACAGAGAACCACATTATAATTTAGCTCATTATTAGGTTTGTGAATTTAATTAGAACATTTAGTGGGCAAAAACATGGTTTTCTGCCCCAGAAAAGAAAGTTACATACAGAAAAAAATAAGATATAATATGATTAGTTTATAAGGTGTGTATCAGTGTTTCCTTCAGTACTAAAGGATTCCACTGTATCACTCTTTCTGTTTAGAACATTAGAATCATAATCAAGTGTCACAAATTATAATCCCATTTTTCTATCAATGTCATGAAATTGAATAAACTTAGTAGAACACAGAATCATTGAATTTTAGAGTAGGAAACTGTGGGTTGCCAATGGAAAAAGTTTTAGAAGCCCTGATCTAAGCCATACTTCCTATTTTATGTATAAAGAAATTGAAATGCAGAGAGCTTAAATGACTTATCTGATGTCACATAATGTTTAGCAGCTATCTTTTAAGGATAGATCTAATGTGATCATTTCTTTGGGCTTTTTCCTCTTCTTTCCTGCAGTGTACTCAGCCTATGCTCAATGAGCTGATGCCAGATATAGCCATGGGCGTGTCAACAATATCACTCAAGGACAGGAGGCTGCCTGAACTTGCTGTTGACACAGAATTAAGCCAACCAGTTTCCGAGGTAGGACCAGGACCTCCCCAACACATATCATGTATCCAGCAGAGGCACATGAACACTTCTCGAAAGAAACACACACTAGAGCAAAAAACGGATGTTAGAGAAAATCAGCAAGAATACCCAGATTTCTATGATTTCTCAAATGCTGCTTGCAGACCTTCTACTCCAGCTCCTACCAGGCATACCCCTTCACCTCCACAAGGTGTATATTTTGGTCCAGATTTATATAGCCACAATAAGGCATCACCAAGTGGCTTAAAGTCAGCATACCTACCTAACCAGAAATCCCCTAAAAAGCAAGAAGAAACTAGGAGAGAATATATGCTTTCTCAAGATGGGCATCAACAGAGACAAAAGAATGAGCCAGTACACCTTGATGTTGTAGAACAACCACCCCAGCGGTTGGATTTGGCATTAGCTGCCCAGGAAAATGCTAGTAATGGTCCAGCTCATGTCAGGGGACGAACAAAAATGGAAACTGATTTGACATATGGGCTTACTTCTAATAGAACTTCACTCTCTGCATGTAGCTCTGAAGCTCCAGAAGAGAGATCCAGGAGGAGACTGGCAGACAGTGAGTCCTTGGAACACGGAGCCCAGAGAAATACAGAGTTGGAAAGGGAAGACTCAGTAAACAGAGGAAGGAGGTCTCCAAGCAAACCAGATTTTTTATACAAAAAGTCTGCCCTCTAAAAGTAACCTCCAAATGGTCTGTGCTTGAGATGTGGAACATCCCATTTTATGACACAACCGGACAACTTTCAGACAAGTTTCTTAAAGCCAGCAGATAACTCAGTTTCACTTTATTTTGCTCAAGTTTTTGTATATACAGTGTTGATTAGACATAGCATGCTATGAGGGTTTGTTTGTTTTTTTAAATGCTGCATCTGGTTTTATTTTGTGTTTTGAGCAGTTGTGTTGAGGAAGCCTTTTTAAGAGAAACCAAGCTGGCACTTTTTTAAAAACAAAATTTTTTGCACCTGTACATTTATTTTACCCATATTAATTTTTGTATCACCATGTTAAACTTTATTGCCACATTTAAAGGACTGTATTTTCATATTTTTTTTGCATTTTACCTTTCACCTACCAATTTCCATGTGCAGTGGGTTGCACACTGAAATGTATTTTCTTATGAAATAGTTAGAATGTGTTTATTTTTTAATTATAGGAATTCCAAAGAACAGCACATCAAAATGCTCCTCTCTTTTTAGTACTAGTTTTAGTTCAGAAATCTGCCTGGTCAGTCTCTGCTAAAAGAATTTGTTGTCATCCTTTTTAAATAAGTTGTGGGAGCTAGTATCTCCAGCTAGTGTCCACCCAGGATCCTGAAGTTTCTGGTTTAGTGAAGAATGCTGAAGAAAAAAGCTTTCCTTGCCCAATCTAAAACTATTAGTGTAGTTACAGCATGAACTCTTAAGTTAGAATCGTTGTAAGTTCAAGTAACAAATGAGAATTTCACTAAATAGGGTCTTAATCAAAGTCCTTCTAAACTTGAAACATTGAAGATGTCAGATTAACATGAGACACTGCTAACTAGATTTCTGGTTCTGAGAGCAAATTCTTCAGCTGAGAGGGGTGAGATGATTGCTTATTGCCTTCAGTGGTCTTGCTGCCTATTGGGGAACAAATAAAAGGGCTTCAGTCTTAAGGATGTCATTTGATGTTTGTAGGGATATGTATACTTTTAAATGTTTTTAATGTATGTCTAATGAATTTTGGTGTCGTGTGAAGAAAGTTCTGTGTTGCATAATGCTTTAAATCACCAAAAGAAAAAAGAAAAAAAAGTTACACACTACATGTCCTACTTGAACTCCTCTGGGGATGCTGGTTTGGGCATTTACCAAACTATTGCAGCACTTAGGATATTTTAAGATCCTCTCCCTAGGAAGAGCAGTACATGAACTAAGGACTGTTTTTTCCCTCAACCTTCCATGTAAATATACTGATGTTTTAGGTTTGGTTTGGTTTGGTTTTTTTAAATCAATTCTTCAACGTTATTTGTGTCAGTTTTGTATTTCACACACACATATATTCAACAGTAGTACTTGGATAAATAAAAGAGGCTTCCTGAATATTCCATCATATATTAATATGTTACACACATGAATCCACTCATTGACACTCACTCTTAAACTATGCAGGGCTAGGGGGCCTTTACAAGCTACCGTGTAAATGACCTACATGCACTTTTAAGTACATACATTTTTACTGGGTGATAACAGCTCTGATTTCTTTCCTGATTAACTGTAGTTCTTCCTGCAGATTTTTTCCTACTATACCCTGTGGATGTACACTCAGGAATATCTCTTGACGTTTTTTTAATGCTAACAATAGATAGTCACAAAGACAGGAACATGTGCTTATATTATACCCAGATAAAATTGCTGCCAAGTTGTTTTGCTATCTAGTTGACTGCTCTTATTAAATTTTGATTTAGATCATGTTGTATATTTCATTTGAGAGGTCCAAGGGTAAACGCTAACCTGCTTATAAGGTAGACCTACTCATTGCCTTAAAGGCTTTTTTTTCTTTTTCTTTTTCTTTTTTTTTTTTAAGATAGAGAATTATGACGATTCATTGTCTTACTTAAGGGTCTAAACCATATAGTAGATGATATAATCTTTAAAAGTCTGACAGCAAGTCTGGCTTTAATCAAAAAACAGGAGTTAATGATTCCAGTCTATTCTCTAGTGTTTATTCATATATATTAACATTAATCAGTTGGATACAGTTAGAAGTTGCTGCTCTGGATCAGACCAGAGTTGTACTGGTAATGCAAATGAGACTTCCATTTCCCTGATTTTTTTTTTAAATCTTCCTTGTCTCTATTCAGATTATGCATTATTTTGGCTGGTAGTATTGAAACCTACACATTCACTTTTAATAAAAATTAATAAAAATTCCCTTCCACATCACCCAAATTATTTTAAAATGACCACTGCTCATAATTTGATTTACTTACAAAATCTACATTTTCAGCTAAGAATTAGTTTGAATAACTGACTAAAATATTCATATGGGGAAAAACCGCTTTAGTGTATGGTACTATAGACTGATGTAACATGCAGAAGGATACTGTGTCTGTGATGCATGTATCTTGTTAGATTAATTATCAGTTATCTTGCTGTATTTTGTAGTATGTAACTTGTGGAGTAAATTGAATAGCTGTGTGCCAGTGGCTTTTGAACACATCTATTAAATCTTTGTATGCTGTGATAAGATAAATGAGATTACTGCAGAAGGCTGCTTTTGAAAAACAGTGTATACTTAAGGGCCACAAACAGTGGGATTTTATATGATACAAAAGCATTTAAAAATAACCAAATCACAAAAATACCAGATCTCCGTAAGACAATCGGCCGCTCAGACAATCTCCATTTTCAGTACTCATGGCATGTTAAAGAGTGGGTAGACAACTCGTATTGCTCTCAGTGTGGAAGAAGAAAAGATACTACCTTCCTGAAAGTGCTGTTAGTATTTGTTTTCTTCTTAGTTTAGTTTTATAATTTTATTAAACAATCATTGGGGGGAAATGGCAGTGTATGGTGTCATAAAAATTAGTTGTGGAACTTAATATTTTTAAACCCGTGGCATAATATAGTCTTCACACTATGCCCATTAGCTTTCCCCAAGTAAACCTTGGGCCTCTTGAAACCACTTCATTTATCACTTAAACATTAAGGGCTTTACTAGAAGCTCTTTGTAATTAAGTCTTCTTGTAGAAATTATGTATGAAACCTTGCCAAATTCTTGTAATTCATGTCGTATGAGCTTTCCCCAATTTTTTGTTCACTTTTTATTATCATAGTGATCTTTTATGGAATTTTCTTTTTGTTTTTTTAGAGAGGCTTTTCACTAAAGTTGAGTGGGCACGGTATTTGTATTAACTGGAAATAGTGTAATGAGAGGGAGAAAAGACTGATAACCATCTACAGAAACTTAGGTTAATAAATCTCTTAATACCTCAATCTCTAAAGGCAAAGAATTCAGTTTCCTCAATAACTATTGGTTATTAAACTTAATTGGTTTCATTAGAGAAGAAATTTAAGTTTGCCTATGGGAGGGGGGGCACCAAGAAGAGAAATCTGTGTTTCCTGACGCACTTAGGAGATGGCTTAGGAATTCTAAGATTGCAATCTAATACTGAATTCAAAGGGAGGAATATTTATTTTCTTTTTTTATTTTCTTTTAAATCAATGTAGCGTCATGGGTGCTAATTCCCCTTCTGTGTGGTTTACTATGTGTACTAATTATTTTAAAACCTCATCACAAATAAGCTTACAAAAATGGTTAGAGTACACACTGCTTAAAAGTATTTTTCTTATTTTGTTAATGCCCTAAGAATAACTTTTTTCTGAAGTTGTAGCTGTCTATCTTTTTTGTCCCATAGATTACAAGTTTGTTGGTAATTATTGCATTGGCAAGGCCTTAATTGATTTTCCCCTTTGTCTATTCCCTCTATTCCCCCCCCCAAAAAAAAGTATCCTGTCATTTGTTCCATGGTCTCAATATTAAGATGCTGTGGCCCCTCTTATAGAAAGGATACCTATAAGTATTCTATTTGTCTTGAAAATTCTTGAAAGTGATTGCTTGTCTTTATGTGGTTCTTTTTAAGAGATTAGACATGATGTGGAGGCATCATTTGTGTGGCTGTTCATGACCGTGTGTCTGTTTTAAAATGTGCAGGTGGTGGGAAAACCTGCCCATGGATATGGGGTACCTGAAAGATCAAGAAGGTAAATCTACAGTTGGCATATAGTAATCCACCTGTATTTCTGAGAGGTGGTATCTTCTACAATACTGCATTTCTTGGTGTTGTGCTGTTACTGGTATAAAGTCAAGTGCCTTCAATGTTAAAGGCTCAGAAAATTTTCTTAAACCGATTTCATGTCCTATGCAAGTGTTTTCTACAACCTGCATAACCAGTACTTTGTAAAACTTGTTTACGCTTCAATTGTATATAGTGTTTTTAAAAAAAAAATAATATATATATATATATATAGTATTTTTATTTAGGTACCTCCAAACTTGAATTCCAGTCTGTGTGATGCATTGTAAAACAATACATTTCTCTTTTGAGTACCATTACAGTTGTACAAAGGTTTTCACTGGTTCTATTTTTCTACTGTTACTGAAAAGCATGTAACACTGACTTTATCCTACATATAGTTGGCATTTCAAATAAATGGATTGTATAGAAATGCGCTGAGTTGGATAGTCTGTTTGAGCAGTTAACCTAAGGTATACTACATTGCAAAAGAAGAAACATTTCAGTCTTTGGAGATAGAATAGAGGATTGTTAGTTTGTCCTTCTCTGGGTTTTAAATTGCAACAATCATATTAATATGGGGTATCTTATTTGTCATTCATTGTGCTGTTGACATTCAAATATAAAATGCCCATTATCAAAACACTTCTGAGATTGATAACAGCATTTACTATGTGTCAGAGACTCTGCTGTGCACTGTAGATACAAATATAAATGTGAAGTGCTCCCTTCCCCCAAAGATCTTCTATTCTAATAGCTGGGAGACAGCTTAGGGTACGAGGCTGTTTTTCTCTTCACCCCAACTTCTATCCTCATACTTGGAGACTTCATTATTCATGTTAATGTATCATGGGCATTCTAGTTCATTAACCTCCTCAACACTCATTAAGCTACCCTAGCCAAGCAACCCTTAACCCTTAGTTCTCACCATTACCCACCTCCACAAATCCTGAGCACCGAAATCCTCCCCTCTCTAATCATAATCTATCTTCCAATCTCTCCTCCTCTGTGTGACCCCTGGAAATTGAGGCAATCAAATGTTCAGTGACTTGTGCAAGGTCATACAGTGAGTCAGTGTCTAAAGTCTGATTTGTACTGGGGTCTTCCTCTATCAGGCTTGTTGCTCTCCTATGCAACCTACTAAAAAGGAGGCAGAATCCAGGAACAGAACATAGTAGCGTGAAATGTTTCAGAGAAGTTAAAAAGGATCAGGACTGAGAAAAGATCTTTGGATTTGGCAAGTAAGATTATTGATGACTTTGGAGCGGACAGATTCAGCAGCATGAATGATGACATCAGAAACCCAGATTGCAAGAAACTGAGAAGTGAGAAGAGAGGAAGTGAAGGCAATCAGTACACACAGCTTTTGTTTTTTTAGTTTAATTTTTTTCAATTAATGAAATTTGATTTTTCTCTTTTCACTCCTTGGAAAATAGTAAAAAATAAAAGTGCCTGTAATAAATATGCATAGTTAAGCAAAACAAATACCTGCATTAGCCATCTTCAAAAAATAGAGTAGTTTTTTTAAAGGAGTTAACACACGTACACACACACACTTTAGTTGATGCTCAGTCACTGTGGCCAAAAAAATACATTGGTTTTCTAGGATTGCTTCTCTCTACACAAAGCTATTCTAAGCTTCAGATAAAATAGACCATCTGTTTCAGGTTCACCCTTTCTAGTATAAGTCCTATCAAAGATTTATGTAAGAACTGGGTTTTATTCTAGTTCATAGGCTCATAGGACCATAATTTAGAGCTGGAAGTCAATTAATTCAATCCTTTTACATTGAGTTTCAATCCATTTCAATTCATTTAGTCAAAGAAACTGGAGGCCAGAAAATTTAAAAGACTTACCCAAGTTCACACAGCTAGTAAATAATTGTTTCAGGATGAGATTCTTGGTTTTAATCATTGTTCTTCCTCCCTGCTACAGACATTAGTTTGCATTCAGACTATCACAATGAGAAAAACAAGAAAGACAGAAAGCGACAGGGAAGAAAAGAGAAAGGCAAGAGTGGTAAGGACAGGACAGAACAGAGTATATATAAATGCTAGGGGCTGCTGGCCTGTGTTCCTTAGATGATACATTCTTTGTGTAAAACAGGCAGTTACCGAGGTTGGAGGGTAGGCTTATCTTCCTCTTGTTCTCTTGTCTGACTCTGTGACCCCATTTGGGGTTTTCTTGGCAAAGATACTGGAGTGGTTTGCCATTTCTTCAGCTCATTTTACAGATGAGGAAACTGACATAAACATGTTTAAATGGCTTGCCCAGGGTCACACAACTAGTAAGTGTGTGACACCAAATTGAATTTGTAAAGATGTGTCTTCCTGATTTCAAGCCGGCACTCTATCCACTGTGCCACCTAGCTGCCCTCTTAGCTTCTCAGTGCCTGCTAATTAGAGGCACTCTCTGCATACCAAGCAAATAGTTTACTGCCTTTCAAGTTTACCAAGCCAATGGAAAAAACCTTTATGAAGGACTGTGAATAGAGGGGAAGTGTGTTTCCAGACAAAGAAGCTAGCCCCGCTTGCTGACGGTGGGTCATTTCATCTTCCCCAAAATGACACTTCCATTCATTTGATGGAAACTGGCTGGCAGTATATGACCTGTTTGGGATCCCAGAAGTCTGCACACTCTGCCTGAAAAGAACCCCAAAATCCATGTTTGTCTTCTTTGCCAACATTTAAGTTCTTTTGTCTTCTCCTTTGGGGCATGAATCAAAAAAACAGAATGTGATTGCTAAAATAGACCTTAAAACATCGTGTTGTGTTGTTGTCATTTCAGTAGTGTCTGATTCTTCGTGACCCCATTTGGAGTTTTTTAGCAAAGATACCAGAGCTGTTTGCCATTTCCTTCTGTAACTCATTGTGCAGGTGATGAAACTGAGGCAAATAGTTAAGTGACTTGCCCAGGGTCACACAGCTAGTTAAGTGTCTGAGGCCAGATTTGAACTCATAAAGATGAGTCTTTCTGACTCCAGGCCTGTCTCTGTATCCACTGCACTAACCAGCTGCTAAACATTATATAAATATGCATAAATCTATCACATAAACATTTGACAAGAGAAAAGGGAGGTCCAGAAAGAAATGACTGGTGATACATCTATTTTGTGTAATTATCTCATGGTGGTGAGGGGAAGTTATGCTGGTTGAGATTAAGCTACTATGCTCTAAGTCTAGTGCAGACTTAGATTTTAAATTTGCCCAGGGTCACAGCTAGTAAGTATCAAGTGTGTGAGGCCTGATTTGAACTCAGGTCCTCCTAACTCCAGGGCTGGAGCTCTATACACTGTGCCACCTACCTGCCCCTTTAGACCTTAATTGTACTAAGCTGTCGAACCAGATCTCAAACTCAGAGTTTTTGACACCCAATGTAGATATCTTTCCATCACTCCTGAAATGTTGGTATCTCTCATATATGCCTTCTTCTCCACTGACAGTCACCACACTGATGTTCAAAGCCCTTCATAACCTGCCTCTAAAAACACATACCTTGAGGCAGCTAGGTGGTGCAGTGGATAGAGCACCAGCCCTGGAGTCGGGAGGATCTGAGTTCAAATCCGGCCTCACACACATAACACTCACTAGCTGTGTGACCCTGGGCAAGTCACTTAACCCCAATGGCCTCACCAAAAAAAAACCCCCAAAACAACAAAAAATACATACATTCTTACACCTTATACCTCCCCCCAACTCAAACTCTTTCATCCAGTGATATTGGCTTCCTTGCTGTTCCTTGAACATGACATTCTTTCTGTCAACTTAGGCATTTTCTCCAATTATAATATTCTAATTATAAAATTAATAACATTTTGTGGCTTTTAAGGAACTCTAATGATCATAGCCCAATTTAATTAAATTCAGCTCAACAAGTATTTATTAAGCACTTATCATATGCAACATACTGGACTATGTAAATACCCTAACATATTTCTGTGGACCTATGAAGACATCAGGACACCAAAGTCAAATAGAAATGGCCACTAAAATCAGATACCAGGATCCCTGATGGCAGTATGTTGACTTAGAAAACCACACATTAACACTGTCTATGTCCTATTGTATTTTTACTTATTCTGTTAAATATTTCCCAGTCACTTTTTAATCTGGTTCAGTTAGGAGTTCTGGGGGGCAGCAATGTCACCACCATGTTTGACCCCTCTGAATTAGGATACTCCTTCGTAAGGATTCAGATTCCCGCCTGCCATCCTGAGCAGTTATTGCCAATATCTCACCATTAGCTCACCCTAAGGTATCCACTTGGCCTACTCAGGACCTTTCTTGTGTACTCTTGGCATTATGAAGAAATGCCAAGCACATGCATACATGCAGATGCAACACATGGTCCCTTGATTTTGTCAAACCACCAGATCATCTTCAATAGTCTCTAAAGAACTGAAGTTGGAGATCACTCAAAGTGCAGTGGAGAGGCAGGTGTGGGTGCACAAGGGGTTATAGCATAGCCATAGACAAGGAAAAATGTTGTAAAAGATAATCATCAAAGATAGATAGGAAGCAGCAGATGGAGCACTGAGCATGGAGTCAAGAAGACCTGAGTTCAAATTGGGCCTCAGACACTTCACCCTTCTAGATATGTAACCCTAGGCTAGTCGCTTAACCTCTATCTGCCTCAGTTCCCTCAACTGTAGAATGAGGATAATAACACCTACCACCCAGGATAGGACCAAATTAAATATGTACAAAGTTTTTGTGCCTGGCCCATAGTACTTAATAAATGCTTGTTCTCCCTCCCATATATGAATAAATGAATGAAAAAGAAATTATTAAGTGCTTACTACATGCAAAACACTGTGCTAAGCCATGAGAATATAGATAGAAAAGCAAAGTAATTCCTGCTCTCAAGGAGCTCGTATTTCTAATGAGAGGAGACAATATATGTAAGATTGTATTGTCACAAGTGAAACTCAAAGGTAGACTGACATATTCTGCAAGCAGTATAACAGCTTTTATATGTTTGGGAGAGTACAGAACAGAGTAGGTGAGGAAATAATACAATTGGTTCTAGGGTTGGTGACATTGTGGAATTGAGGACAACCTGACTGGTTACATGGCTGAAGCCTGGCAGATGATATGATTGGCTGGAAGTTGGGAATGGAAGCGTAGCAATAACCCCCTCCTCTTCTATAACTAAGAAAGGTTCATTGTTTGAATCCACCTGCAAAGTTAGAGATGGTGTGCAAGACGTTTTGGATAGCACACCAGATATCCTTGAAGGATGGCTTGGTGGTATAAAGACCAAACTCATTGATGTCCATCCTCATCCCTCAAGGACCACAGATATCCTTGAGGCAAGAATGGAACAGTGATTAACCAGAGAACTGGATTTCTAAACTAAACTCATTAACAGGCCAGCTGAATTTCCGCACTAAGTTCAAAGAAAAAGACCCATAACTTAGGCAGTTACAGGACG